CTTCAAATTTCGCACCATTTTTAGTCACAATAGCAAACTTAACTGGTTCGATGTTCCAAACTTTGTCAAATGAAGACTTTTCAAAATGGTAGAAGTAAACATTCAAATATGTGAATGGGTCTAGTTCTTCTTTAAGTCCTGACATGTACTTGTTTACTGAGATGAATTTCGTCATCTTTTCTATCGGATAAAAAAATATTTTTTTTTTAAAATTTACTCAGAAAAATTTTTCTTTGTATATACACCATTCTGAACATCTAAAAGATTTTTGATATTTGCCAAGAATGTTCGTTTAGACGCTGCCATATAACCATATTCTTGACAATACTGTTTATACGAATCGTACAATGACCTTTCATCTAAACACTCAAAGTTAGTCTCATCTATAAACAGTTCATATACACTCTTGTTTGCTTCTAACAATGTTTGTCTCTCTTCGGTATGTGGAATTTGTCTTGGATTGAACTTTGAAATATCTAATGTCATAAAATATGAGAACAAGTGGTTGTAAAAGTCAGATGTCAAAGTTTCTGCTAAGTCGTCAAAATATTCTGTATCTTGCATATGAGAATCTGACGTTCTGACAACTACATATCTTCTGTCAGAACTTTCTAACTTCATCGGAACAGCATTGTTTGAAACCATAATGAAGTTTGCAACATTTTCACAAACTCTTTGGTCTTTATATTTTCTTTCAACAACTCCAACTTTGTCTGTTATAAGACTCTTCAAAGCATCTGAGTTCAAAACTTTTGTTGTATCTATACTTTGAAGTTCGTTACATACTATAAGTTTCATATTCTCAATAGAAGAGTTAAATTTACCGCAGATGTTTTCTAAGTTTGTCATATTAGGGTTCGAATAACCTTCTAACAGTTTGCACAAAATATCTGTAAAGAAAGTATTCTTACCAGTTCCTTGTTTTCCAATTATAATGAGAGCAGTTTCATTTTTAGCACTTGGATGTTGTAAGATATTTGCAAACCAACATAAGATATACTCATAAACCTTTTCGTTTCCATTGCATATAATTTCTTTGACATGGTCTAACCAAGCTTCTATAATATTTTCTTTCCATTCTACTTGTTCATATTTATATCCAGTGAAGATAGAATAGAAGTTTGGAGAAGGTGTATAGAACTTTATACCTCGAACTGAAAAATCTTCTAACTTTGACAATAAGATATCCCAAGCATCTAACATCTTCATGCCAACTTGTACAACTTTTATTTTCTTAAGTTTCTGTTTACATTCTTGTTCTGAAACTATTGTCGCTTTAGGTTTGTTAAAGACAACATCCCATTCTTTCATAACATAACATTCTGGGGCAGAGTCAACATAAATGACTAAACGTTTCAAATTCTCGACTGCTTTGTTATAGTCTCTAAATGGACACATATTTCTGAATGCTTGGAAGTCATAAAAATCTGAAACATCTATTCTGTACATTTTTATAAAAATAAAAAAAATATTTTTTTTATTCTTGACTTTGTTCTTGAGCTATTTGTTGCATTTGTTGTTCTTGAGCTATTTGTTGTTGAAGTTGTTCTTGTAATACAATACTTTCACCAGTTGCATCTTCCAATTCGAAACTTTCTGCCGTCATTGACAAATACATAGGACATAAAAGTTTTACAGGAACAAAGTTTGCGTCAACTAAGGTTAAGTTTATGTTTGCCAAAGTGTTTGAGTTCACTAAAGCTGAAAACTCTGCATTCGAATGAACAATAGGCAAACCAGCAGAGAAAGTGTTGTTTATACGCATAAGTATCTTTTGGTCATAGTAGTTTCTGTCGACATTCGAATAACACTTTGAACCTAAGTTTGAAACAATATATAAAATAGGTGTACTTAAAGTCAATGGAACAGACATTCCTTGTATGACACCTTTTCCTGTTATAGGAAACTGTTGGTAGTAAAAACCAGATATAAGTTTTGTATTATAGCTCATATTGTTTATAGTAAACTCAGTCGGACATCCAAACATAATGAAACCTGCTCTAGTTGCAGCACATTTTACACCCGTACTTAAAGTATTAAATAAGTCAACAAAACCTGTTGGTGGTATATCTGAGTAAGTATCTTCAAAGGAGTATTTTTTACCATTCACAACAATAAAGTCTTCTGGTGTCAAAAGAGCAAAACAGGCTTTAGTCGTCATTGTGTTTAAGGTTAGTTTACAATATCGTCCTTGAGGACTTTGTAAGTTTGTTGTTATAGAATTATATGACTCAGGGTTTTTAGTCGTAATAGTATAAACCATTATGTCTTCTGCCATTTACTTAGCAAATAAACTTTAATGAAATGTTGTGGTCGTCAAATATTTTTATGACGTCTGGGAAACTATACTTTAAGTTCAACGTTTCACCTCCTTTCATAACGTATATCTTGTCAATGACATTATATGAAACACCACAGCAACTAACGTCGGGTTCTATTTCTTTGATGTTTATATCGTCTGCCTCTGTCAAAAGTTTCAATAGTTCTTTCAAAACTTCATGAGGTGCGATGACATATGAGTTCACTTTTACAGGGTTGTGTTCGACCAAGTTTAACATTATACTTAAAGCTTGACAAATCTTCTCCTGAGTTTGAAGTTTGTCTTTCAGTTGTTGGTAGTCATTTCGAATATCTGCAACAGAACTTAAGTCTCTGCTAACTTCAGGGTATGTTGGTTGTTCTTTTACAGGAACAATTGTTATACCATCTTCGTCTTCGTATGGTTTCCCCACTTCAACATCTCTTTCTTTGACATTGACAATAACACTTTGACTGTTTGTTTGAGTTGGTGAATTTAACTTCACATCTGCCACCGCCATTAAACCTTTTGAAACACTTACGCTTCTATTTTTCGGAAATGACATTTTACTTCGAATAAAAATATGGACGTATTCGGATATCTCTTTGAATTGAAGCAGAACAAAGTTTATACTCACAAACAATACAAATACATTGACAGAATAGTTCTTTACACAAACAATGGAAAATGTTATAGAATAGCAGTCTTTGCTGAACCAAAATATTTTCATAAAGCAAAGAAAGTTGGTATAACCGAGATGGTGAAAGTTCTTGAAGCAGACAAAAATATAACAACAAAACTTACAGATATTTCTAAAGGTAAGTTTATAATACAATTTTATGTCAAAACTGGTGTCATAACTATTTACGATGGTGAGAAGTCAGTTCAAGAACAACTTACTGACCTGCTGCCAAAATCTGCTCGATGGAAGCTGTCGTTATGCCAATCTGAGGAGCCCCAGCAGGTTTCATCGAACGAATCTTCAAAAGAGCATCTTCCGTGAAAAGTGCTATTGGTTTTGTAAACTTCTTTGCTCTCAATTCATCTGGACCGTCTCTGTCACCAGTATATTGTATTTGTACAGTACCAACAGTTGAAATACCACCCATAAAGTCTTCTGAGTCAGCAAATGGAATGCCAAGCCAAAAGTTTGAACGGTCTCCATTTGTATATTGAGTTTTTTGACTTCCTGTATGGGTCCATACTTTCACATATGGCATAATAGAACTTTGCATTTCAGGGTTAATGGTTGTTGTGAAGTTGTTGTTAAAGTTCATAGCATCTAATGTCAAGTTGTATGACCTCATATCTTCAACTGTAGAATATTCTTCTCTTGGATAATATTTGCCATCTATGTTTATATGATATTTAATACCAGGGTTGTAGAAACAAGAATAGTCATTTATAGTTCGTCTGAACAGTACAAACATAGTATCTGCATGTTTCATTGCAGTTGTTAAAGCAATATCTGTTCTTGCACCTGGGTCAGCACTTTGGTTTCCAACTTCACCTGCAAAGTCTTTGACAGATATTTGGTGTATAGGGAACATAAGTGGAACTGCAATATATTTGGCAGCTAAAGCATTTGAAATATCTGGGTCCAACATATAGACTGCAAGTCTGCTTTCTATTCTCTTGCATTCAAATTTTTCGCATGTGAACTTAACTGGGTCCCAAGCAGTTCCAGCAGCATTGAAATAATAGTTTACTTCAGTGTTGAAGTTTGAGAAACCAAAGTCTAAGTCAACTTTGTCTTTGCAAAATTCGGCGAATGACGTTTGATTTGCTCCCTTTACGTCTGTAAGAGTGAATGGGTCTTGCGTTGGTGCAATGACTAAGTTATTTTTGCTTGGAGTAAGTTCAATAGAAATTTTTCCTGCCCAGTTTGGCAAGTATCTTAAAAACCTGAAGATGAGGAAAGATGACAAAGGAACTCTAAGTTTCAGTTTTACTTTGGTTACTGCTGCTGCAGTTTGTCCAGAAAGGTCAACATAAACTCCTGGAACGTTAGGGTCAAGTCTTCTTATTTTCTCAATAGTTGCATATTGGTCTGTTTGTTCTCTAGCTTGTGGTTGTACTGAGTTTCTCAAAGCGAACCATTCATAGTTTGCCCATGTTACTGTTTGAACTAAGTCAGAGTTAGAATATATCTTATATCCCATGAAAACTTCTGGAGCATATTGGTATCCGACATAGAAAATTCCATTGCAACCTTTCTTGTCAGACAACTTGGCAGAAGGTTTTATTTCAATGTCTTGTTCCACGTATAAGAATGAGTTGTCAATAGAAATAATGTGAAACCTGTCGCATGCAATATCTACTGTTGTTGAAGAACCTTCACCAAACTCACCTACATTTCCATAAGAAACAGCAGTTGTATATTCGTAAGTTCCAGGAACTATTTCTGACCTTCTAATGGCATTGTCGCATTCGTTATACCATTCGGAAACATTTCCGTTCATGGCATCCAAAACTGTTGGCGTTATATTCTGAGCGGCGTACATTTCATATGGGTAAAAATATAGAATAGTTGGATTATTTGTCATAATAGAACCCACGTGGACCAAGCTTTACTTTCTTCCTGGCTGAGTTTTTAACTCTTCTTTTTCCTTCATTGCCACTACTTTCACTTTGTTCTTCACTACTTTCACGACTTTCTCTTCTTCTTTGGTGTCGCTTTGGTAACTTGCCCTCTGCTTCAAGTTGCATCTTTGCCTCATGTTCACCTAGTATGTTGTAAATTTCCCATGTCCTTTTTGCCTTTGGGCTCTGGTCGCCCATCTCAGGTAACCTATATCCTAGAAAGATTTTGTCATAGTTTGTATTTGAGTCTTCGCGTATTGTTTGCATGACTCTTTCCTGAGTTTCCGGTTCAAGCTCTTCAAACAGAGCTTGTCCATATGGAATAAGCTCGTTTCCAAATATATGTTTTTGTAGCCATTCTGGTTTTCTTTCCATGTTACCAACAATATCTTTTGTGAATGGGAAAGCTTTTACCCAATGTTTCAGTCTTTCGTCATTTATTTCTGTAGTTGGTTTTATTTTGTCAAGGAACATGTTTTTCAATACTAACATTTCATTTGGTACTGTCCATTTGAGTTTTCTTAAATATTCATCCCTTCTCAGTTCATTGTCTGCAAAGTAAGTTTTTATGATATTTTGCAAACTTTCGTTTGCAAGGTCATGTACAATAGGTTCTCTTCCTTCTCTCTCCCTAACTTTCTTTCTAAACTCTTCACCAAATATACCATCTCTATGGTTCTGTGTAGTTCTTTGAGATAAATGTTCTAGAACGTCAGGTGTTATATTTCCATCAGCCATGTTCATTTCATACTGGTCCAAAATATCTGCATCTTTCATATCTTTCAACGGCATTAAAGCCGCGCTTAAAATACCAGCTATATCTGGTTCACCATTCACTTCCATTGCGTCTACAACTTCTTGGAATTGTGGTTGTAAGTTTATGAACCACCTATCCGAATTAGCTTTATGACCCCATCTCATTGTAGTTCCATTGTCTGCAGAAACAAAAGTAGGTCTGTTTCCATCTTGGCTAGGTTCTGAATGAACTTTAAACAATGTTTCATTTTTATATGTTTTCTTGAAATTTAACCTTTTATTTTCACCGAGTTCATCCGAAGATTGAACGTTAAATGCTCGTAAGTAAAAAGGGTTGTTGTATTTGCGTACATTTTCTTTCAGTACTTCCATTCTATGCTGAATATTTTCATCTGATGTTGGAGTCTTTTGTATGTCGGCGAACATTTTTCGATATTCTTCTACCATGTCAGCCGAATTTTTTTTAGACTCTTGGAAAGATTCCATATTCTCCGCATACTCTTGTTGAAGGTCAAGATTTTTCGGCTGTTCCAAATCTTCATCTAGTTCTGTGAAGTTAGTTTCCAAAGGAGGGACTTGTTCGTTTCCTTCAGGCTCTTCTAGCTGTTGTTGCTGAACTATTTCTTCCATGTCTGGTTGTATCTGAACTTCTTCCTGTTGAGTTTCTTGTACCTCATCTGCTGGCATTTCATATATTCCGAGACCGTTTTCAACAATTTCCCTATCTACGTCATCCGCATTCATAAGCCTTTGTTCTTTCGTTCCGTCTCTATTTTTTACGCGTTTCATGACGAAAGTTGAATTGTCATTTAGCTCTGACATCAAATATCTCGGAGTAAATTCGTTCATGTCATTTGGATGATATGCTATTAAATCATATCTCTTAGCGAGCTTGTATTTTCCAGGTTTGAAATTATATCCCATTTGGTGCTGAGTCATAAAGCTAAATAGGTTCGGGTCAGTATTTCCATCCTTGAACTTTCTAATAGCTTCTTTATATCTGTCACTAAAGTCAAGAGTATCTGGGTAACCATAATCTTCCTTAAGCATTTTTAAGAATTCTTGGTTTCCTTGTTCTCTACTTCTTTTATGTCCTTGCTCTGTTTGTGGTTGTTGTTGTGCAGGGTTTTGAACTGTTGGTTGCTGTGCTGGTTGTGCAGGGTTTTGAACTGTTGGTTGCTGTGCTGGTTGTGGAGGTGGTTGTTGTGTTGGTTGTTGTGTTGGTTTTGGTGCATGCCTGTGTCTATGTCCATGTGACGATGTAAATGTTCTAGGTAGTCCTGGTGCAGGTGCTTCTCTTGGAGGGTTTGGTGGTATATAAGTTCCACCAGCTGGCACATATGTTCCATCTGCAGCGTAATGTCCTACCTGACTTTTCGTTCTTAAGAAAGCATTTACTAGGTCTGTTTTGGTCTGTTGTAACTCTTTTTCTTGACTTTCCACAACAGTTGCTCTAACGGCGTCATAGGCACTTTGAACTGCCTGTCTCGTTGCTGCATCTGTTATTTTCGTCATATTTTGTGCTACTTCTCTTAACTCTTTGTCGAAACCTTCAGACTTCAGTTTCTTTCCAGATGAGAAGTCGTTCACTAGTTTCACCTTACTATGAAGAGCTTCGAAGGCGTTCTTAAAGTCAGCATTTGTTAAAGCTTCATTTGAACTGTCTTCATCCGCTTGTATTTTTGTCCTTATTGACCCTATAAGCTGGGCTGCTTTAGCGTTGGCTTGGGCATCTAACCAGTCATTATTAGCTTTTATATATTCTGCGCTTTTCATTGCCTTTTGCATGGCTGCGTCGTTATTTTTACTTTCTTGTGCTAAGTTTTCATACTGTACGGTTTGGTTTTGCAACTGTAAAAGTTTTTCTGCCTTTACATTTGCTTCAACTTCTTTTTTATACTCATCGCTTTCCATATATGTCTTCAGGGCTTTTTGTTTTATCTCTTCATCTTTCAGTACTTTATATTGAGTAGTATGGTTTTTCAAATTTATGACATCTTGTTCCATTTTTGCTACTTCTGCTGCTTTTTCTGACACTTTTTTCGCATATTCCTCTGTACTTAGTTCTTTCAGTTGTTCTTCTTTCTTCTTTTTCTCTACGTTTAACTCATTGAGTTTCTTTGTGTGTCTGTCATATTCTAGTTTCTTTTCGTTTTCACTTATTTGCTTCTGTATGTCTATGTTTGACTTTTTGACATCTGTTATTTGATTTTTGAGTGAACTCAAATTCATTTGACTTTGAGGGTTATAGGCTGTTCCGTCTGCAGCTCCACCATAGCCTGCCATTTTCGCTAAAAGTGCCGCTCTTAAACCTCCACTCTGTGCACCAAAAACTCGGTTTAAAAGCATAGGATTGCTTGACATTTGTTGCAACATAGTGGGGTCATTCAGCATTTGTTGTTGCAACTGTTGTTGTGGTGTCAGTTTTACTATTGGATGTTTCAATGCTCTCTTCCTCTTACGTATATTCTTACGTAGCTTACGTGGCATTTTAAGTGAAGTAAAAAACATTTACGATGAAGAAGTTTCGACAAAACATTTACGAAGAAATCATGAAAATTCAAGAGGTGAGAAAACAGGTGAGAAAACGGGTGACATCTCACCTCTTCACCTAAATTATATTTTTGGGTCATTTACGCTCATTACGATGAAGAAGTCTTGACAAAACATTTACGTTCATGTTTGACAAAACATGAAAAGAAATTCAAGAGGGTAGAAAAGAGGTTAGAAAAGAGGTTAGATCTAACCTTCTACCCTAAAATATATTTTTGTCTGATTTACGCTCATTACGAAGAAATCTCAACAAACATTTACGAAGAAACCATGAAAATTCATGAAAATTCATGAAATTCAAGAGGTGAGAAAACGGTGAGAAAACGGGTGACATCTCACCTCTTCACCTAAAATATATTTTTGTCTGATTTACGCTCATTACGAAGAAATCTCAACAAAACATTTACGAAGAAACCATGAAAATTCATGAAAATTCAATGAAAAATTCAAGAGGGTAGAAAAAGAGTTAGAAAAGAGGTTAGATCTAACCTTCTACCCTCAAATATATTTTTGTCTGATTTACGCTCATTACGAAGAAATCTCAACAAAAATTTACGATGAAATTCATGAAAATTCATGAAAATTCATGACAAAACATTTACGATGAAATTCATGAAAATTCATGAAAAATTCATGACAAAACTTTTACGATGAAATTCATGAAAATTCATGAAAAATTCATGACAAAACATTTACGAATGAAATTCATGAAAATTCATGAAAATTAATGACAAAAAAACATTTACGATGAAATTCATGAAAATTCATGAAAATTCATGACAAAACATTTACGATGAAATTCATGAAAATTCATGAAATTCATGACAAAAACATTTACGACTGAAATTCATGAAAATTCATGAAAATTCATGACAAAACATTACGTGAAATTCATGAAAATTCATGAAAATTCATGACAAACATTTACGATGAATCATGAAAATTCATGAAAAATTCATGACAAAACATTTACGATGAAATCTCAACAAAACATTTCGATGAAGAAATCTCAACAAAAAAGTCAACGGCTGGTCGGCTGGGGGTTCGGTCCTCCTCTTGGGTCTTGGGAAAATTCTTAGGGCTAGAAGGCACGAAGTGCCTGGAGGCCCCTCCGAATATAAACTTCATTTATATCTAAACATCCTCAGGGCTAGAAGGCACGAAGTGCCTGGGAGCCCCACTACCTTTTTTTTTTTTTTTTTTTTTTTTTTTTTTAAATATATTATTAAAATATGAGAAAATCGCTCAACAAAAAAACAATTCTTTCAAAAAGTTTGACATTGATCTTTCTAATAACATATCCTCTGGAAGGAGTTTACATTCACAAAAATAAAAACCAGTTCAAATCTTATTACTCCTTGAATTAAAATCATTTAATTTCAAATCCATTCCAAATCCTTAAATCTGTATTAAAATCATTTTGCCAACAACCAACACAATACAAATTACATTTCCATATATCTTCCTTGTCCATTTTAATTTTTTATCTCATTTTATTTAATTTTATTTAAAGCATATAGACATCGAGATCCTTTACACATAGTTATATAAAAGTCAAATACATAATAAATTCTTAATTCTAGAGATATCTCAAATCTCATTTTTTTAATTTAAAATACCTTTCATTTTTCACAGTACTATCACAACAAACAAGCCATTTACTAATTAACACATATAAGAAAAATATCAAATTACAAAACAACTTTCAATATCATTCGCATCGAATTCTATTTTTTCATAATTATCAACTACATATTATTATATAATATATGTCGGCGCATATTCCACTTATACAAGTGTCAGACATACTCACACAAAGCTGTGAGTTCATACCTCTATCAGTAGGACTTCTCAAATCAAGAACACATATGTTTCACTATCGCACATCTGTGTAGGATCTAATTAACCTTTGGACTGGTACTTCAAAATTTGATAATTTGATAATTTCATGTGATATCATCATTTGCCTTTAAACAACTGTGCGTTAAACTTAGAACACCGTTCTCTATCATAATGCAAAATATCAAAGTTTGGGAGACTCCCAAAGTGTCTGAAACTGATCATAAGGGTGAAAAACCGTTTTCCAGAAGTTGGGAACGTAGGGTGAAAAAAATTGATCCAGATTTTCGTCATTTTTTACTTTTTCTCCACTCTAAATTAACCAAAGAAATGGCCTAGCTTCTAATTCTAAATGGTGCTATGATAGAGAAAATTCTAGACAAACTGTTCATCATTATGCCGCAACTAATAATAGAATTGAAACAGTCGAACTTCATATTTTGGATGGTTCTGATATCAATGCTAAAAACTTTTATGGGCAAACATCTCTTCATGAAGCACCACAAAAAATTGCAAAGAAATAGCCGAACTTCTAATTTTAAAAAGTAGTGTTATCGATGCAAAAGAGAATTATAGAAAGAAAAAAAAAAAAAAAAAAAAAAAAAAGGAAGTGGGGCTTCCAGGCACTTCGTGCCTTCTAGCCCTGAAGATGTTTAGTATAAATGAAGTTTTTATTCGGAAAATTGTTAGTCTTCTGGGTCGAAAACATTATATAATGTGTCGCTTTTCACAAATTATATATGTTTTCATGTTTTGTCAAACATGAACGTAAATGTTTTGTCAAGACTTCTTCATCGTAATGAGCGTAAATGACCCAAAAATATAATTTAGGTGAAGAGGTGAGATGTCACCCGTTTTCTCACCTGTTTTCTCACCTCTTGAATTTTCATGATTTCTTCGTAAATGTTTTGTCGAAACTTCTTCATCGTAAATGTTTTGTCACTTTTCTGTCACTTTTCAGGAAAAAACATTTTTATTATTATATATAAATGAATTTTACAAAACCACCGTTACCGTTCTTTGGAAATAAGAGT